TGAGTATATGTGCCTTAGGAGGAGGATCACAGTACCCGGCTTGTGGAAAAGGGACATAGAGAGGATGCAAATTTGAAATGATGGATAATCTTTTTCTCTATTTGTAAGCAAACCCTCAGTGCTTGATAGAGAGGTCAGAGGCTGTAAAAGTATGACCTATGTATCTGATAACCAAAACAAACCTATGTGCCACATAAAGTAAAATATGGAAGAATGATATTGTGAATCAAGTTAAAAGATCACGTGGACTTGTTCTCAGTATCTGGCAGAGAGGAAGGCTCTCAAAGGATTGTCCCAGTTACTGCTACAGAAGAAGAGGGTTCTCAAAGGATTATCTCAGTTACTGCTACAGAAGAAGAGGGCTCTCAACAAATTGTCTCAGAAAAGTGGCACAGAAGAAGAGCCTATCAAAACATGTTTTAAGTAAGGAGGCTCACAAAACATGTTTTCACTTAGTTGCACATTGGAAGGAGTCCCTCAAAACACGCTCTCATTAGGTGACACATTAGAAGAAGGGTCGCAGAACAAGCTCTCAGTAAGTGACACACCAGAGCACAAGTTCACAGGACGGCTCCTCCGGTAGGTGAGAGTACAGAATTTGGACCGAGACTGTGATGCCGTGTTAGACCACTATATCCCGCACCTCTGTGTGCCAAACCCAGCTGCCTGCCTTGCCACTCTGATATTCCGGTGTATTCCGTTCTACGCTCGCAACCGTAATGAAATTTCTCTGAAATCTGCTTACCTTAAATGTCATTATACGTCTAATTGGCTCAAAAATTGAATTTCCCCGCAAATATTTCAAATGAACTAACCTTTGACCCTGGAGAAAGTGCAAAAGATGCACTGAGAGTGACAAAAAGTAATTTTGGAAACTTAACTGATTAGCTACGCTCCTCAGGGACCATGGGCCTTGGAAAGAAACGTGTTAAATTACCCCTGTTGAGTAAAGCGAATCCAAAGTGTGAACGAGTTTTTCGCAATGCAGAAAACCTTGCAGCTCTCTTCCTGACGAAACGATGGTCCCCAGCGCATTGCTAGTGTTCACAGGAGACGCGTCTGTAGAATATAACACGTTTAGCTGTTGCTGTATTATTTTCTTTCATATTGGTCAAATGGTGTCCCCATATACACGCAAATACTCCACAGAGGGACGTCGGGCCGGCAAAAATATGCTCGGATGAGCCAGGTGATAAAATTCTATCAATTGTATCCCTACACCGATGGTTTTGGCTATCTGAGGGAATTAAAGTTTTTGGCTGTCAAGCCAGATTGCTTCATGAAGCCGTCACAAATCTAACATCACGTTGTCTCGTCGTAGTCTCATCATGGAGGTTTACTGTTTTTGTCTTTGATGTTTGGCGCTCATTGCGTACTTTCTCAGTACATCCCCCTCCCTCATCCCCATCACGTGGTTTGTCGTCTACAGGCTGGGCGTTCATCAAACTAACAACAATTAGTCCTGGTTGATAACAAGAAAAGATTGTTTTCGCTGATTAACAAGGAATACTGCACATCCTTTTTTAATTCTAGGCTATATTTGATACGTAGAATGCTGAATATAGACATATATGTATTTCTAATAAACTCAACCATTTGATTTTAACATGTCTTGTAATATTCTTTTTATATATCGTCTATCGAGCTTTTTATGTTGCACTTAGTTTGTTTTTACATAGATAAAAGTATATTTCCTATATCAACAAATTGAGATGCATTAATATTTGATTTCTGCCTTTTCATTTATTCATTATTTATTAAATTGGTGAGAGAAGGATTAGAACTACCACATAAACCTCTATAAAACGATCCAATCATTAAATCATCATGCCAGAGCATATCTGTGGAAAACAATTAATTCGTAAGTGATCTAAAGGTTAAAGAAACATAACACATATGATATTTTGAATTAGTCTGAATCGCATTTGAATATTTAAGCATAAGTCTACATCTAATGATAAATATCAACATGCATGCTGGTCAGATTTTTCCAATATTAGCATACCGTAAACCTCTTTCTACTGTCACTTTTGTTCAACAGCAAAAGTTAAGGCCTAATAGAGAGGTCTTGCAATTTAGGAGACTTTAAACGGAATTGTAAACAAAAATAGTAAAGCAATTTTACAATTTGTCGGTAAAAAAGTTTAAGGAGTGACATTATACCGAGATTTTATTGCTAATATGATAGATATTTACGATAAATGTGACTTTCTTATTTTTAGTTTGCACTTAACTTTTAAGGAAATTACATGTATAGCTGCTTTTTAGTATTTAGCATCAACATACAACTAATAATATCCTCTTGTGAGTTTTCAAACAAACACAAATTGATTTGCATTTGTACTTTACATAAATAGGCCAGGTAAGGTAACATTAAAGTATGTTACAATGTTACTGACAAACCAGGCACCGTACTGTTGATGTAAAGTCGTCCCTCTCTTTGTTCAGTGCCGCTTGGCTATTTGTATAAAACTTGTATTCACTTACTCGTCCAGGGAACCTTGTGTCTGTAGCGGATTGTGCTGTCTAATCTTTTGTTTTGTTGTTCTCTCCATTCTTATTGCTCGCTTGTCATATCAACAATGAATTCAATTATTGTCATTGAGCGATTGTGATTTAATTGTTTATATAAACTTTGTTTATTTTTAATACGTTGAATTTAAAGACTAATTATCGCTAAAACTGCAGCAAAACTCAACATTAAAATTACAGCTAAATTAAAGTGATGCTTCGGTTTTTATATATTCAAATATTTAATGAAAACAAAATAATACTCCAACATCAAAACAGATATATACATTGACGCCAGATATGAGCTTTTAAGAGATGACCATAAATTGGTGTTTATTGAAATAACTGTTGGGGGACAATTTTACCCTATTTTATATTCAATTGTTAATTCAATCCTCAATTTTTCTTGATAAAGTCTGAATTGGAGTTATGAAGTTATGTAACTAATGTTTAATGCATAAGACTGAAGTTGTTGTGAGAACTAAAAAACCCAAACAAACAAAACTAATCAATTGTACATGTAAACAATCGGCAATGAACCCCTAATTGAATGACTTTATGTGCAATATACTGTTTGCCTGACGAACACAGATTCAAACAAAGATCCGATGACCTGCACGCGTGATTTCTGGATCAGGTGTATGTATTATGAAACCAAGTTTACAGTATGTTTATTGTAATATTTTGGCAAAACTGAGGTTGTATTTATTCTTTATTTCTCATATGAAATATCTTCGGTAGCATTTACCATAAAATTGTAACATATCATGTTTGTGATTTATAAATGTGCCATCACTTTCAGTACTTACTTGGGCAATATATACCGCGGTTAACTATATTACAGGTAAAACAACCCATGGACAAATCTAGACACAAATGATCAAATATCAGTTAAGATATGCTTACATGTCATCAGTCCTGCATAGCAATTCGTTCTATAGATGTAGCCGAGGTCAAAATTGAACACTGAAGATTAAATGTATTAATGAAAAATTCTAAACTGGATCTCATCCATGAAGCGTACATTATCAATCGATACATGATTAGGGAAGGCCATTAATTGCAGCTTACACGCTTTGACTCAATAGATAAATGTGTGCTGTAATAAAATTAAATGTAGATTTTCTAACGTGACGTATTTGTTTATAGCGTGCAGTTTTGGGGAAACTATCTGTTTATTTAAAATGTTGAAACGAAATTTGGTGATAATATTAAAACACTTGTTCGGATACATATCCAGTTGTCATTCCTAATAGAAAGTATGACGTGTTTAATTAGGTAAGAAAAAATATGATACATTTAATAATAAATTTAGAATGCCGCCATATTTTATTCAAAAGCGTTTAATCTTTGTTTCGTTTAAATCATAAAACAATCCTCGAAATTATCTCTTCGTTAGGAAATATGATGCACAGCTAGGCCCGTATTCATAAAAAAAAATCAAATGATATCCTGTGTTCGAATTTTATTCTTTATTTAAACTAGATAGAACCATCTCAAATATTTCTATATTATTAAATATTTTAGGTACTATACTAAGGTCTGTGACAGTGTACTTTCCCGTGTTTACCTGTTCACCCTCACACTCGTTCATAGCCTGAACACATACTTGGGCTTTGCGAGTCTCGTAATTAGCAACACTAAGTAAAATGGCATGATATATCTCTTAAACGCTCAACGGGATCTCACATCATAATATGTTCATGAGATTAATTCATTCTAATTTACAAGTTAATATACATATTTGAGAATACATGAATAAACAACGGAGGAAACACTTTATGAACTTGTTTTTGAAATAAACACTGAATTCATATTCTAAATGATATACACATAATTCTTAAACCTAAATAAATCTTGGAATTTAATCTTCAATAATGTGACAATATTTTTTTTATTATTATATGTATATTTCACATTCAAGTAATTTTTATGATGGAATATATGGTATTCAAGTTGACAAATTTTGTATCAATGGTATGAAAAATATGTAATGATAAATAAACAGTATCATCTTAATATTTATTAGAGAAAAAAAGGAAAAATCTGAGTAAGCATGTATTACAATGATTCTAAGGCCCCGCGGAATCCCTATGTCAACAATTCTTATACATACAGATTATATATTTACGGAGAAATTAGTATGAATTATTTGCATAATAATTTACTTCTAATAAAGCAAAAGGTAACTAACTTTGGTAAAAAATATGATCTAATAAAATTCATTTATGGGTGTATTCATTTTAGCCGTAAAGTGTACAGGGAACATGTATTTTTTCTGTACATTTTTGTGCTGAAAATAACGAACAGCAAAAAAGTGATATTTCTGACTTATGGTATCCTTCAGTGTGGCATATTCCGGATACAGGACTCGTAAATCAAGTGAACCGTTGATGCCACGGAAGGACTCCCACCCTTATAGTCATGACATCATCATTATTTGTTTCATTGTTTATGGCTTTTCTTAATCAAAATCATCTTTTTTGCAGATATGTGCAGCGATGGTTGTGCCATATTTAACGGACTTTTTACTGCCTGGTACCACATGCGGTGCCGGCCACGCGCAACCTTTTCAGCCACCTGGAAGTATCCTTGATTAACATTGCGGTTTGTTTAATGTGTCTGTGGAGTTGATATCTACTTGAGTTCTGTCTTTTTTATCAGAGTTCATTTTTTTCATTTGTCGATTGTACTATTGCAATTTGTCCTTTTCTTACGTTAAAGAACCCCAGTTTATTTGAATGTCGTAACGAGACATCGATTTAGATACAGGTACATTTCTAAGCTAATTTGCACTTTTCATCATTAATCTGTTAAGTGTTTGTGCGACATAAACAAATAATTGACACGCATTTTATCTCGTACTGTGAAGTATGTGAATTGTTACTGTATTATAGTGTAGTACATACCATTTGTTTACCTATTATAACCGATCTAGTTATAAGGACCATACACGTGTTTACCATCCGGCTTAATGAATGCCGCGGCCATATTTACATAATAACTTTAGTCTGTCGTTAATAGGGAAATAATTGATCACCATGTCATCAAGCCAGAACTAAATTAACTTATATTTTATGTAACAAGTCCTTAACTTTCAAAAAGCAATAAAGAGGCCACGATCAAGAAAACGTTGAAGTCATATAAGTGTACATTTGGACGGAGAGTGGTCTTGAATTACTTTTACAGAAGCACGCTAATGCACTTCTTGTCATAGCACACAATTTACTGTCTCTTTAAGGAAAGTGCACACCTTCTGAACTGGGGTTTATGCGGTATTATTAAGGCCCATATCACAGGTGTTCACTCTTTAATGCCAAACAGGTAATATGTAAAAATACACATTAAAGGTAGTGAAGAGTAAACAGTTGACATTAATACTTCCCTGCCACATTAAATATGATTTGTTTTGGTCAGCGTCTGGTGTAACTGCTAACGTCGTTATATGGATATCAGGAACAGGAATAGTGTACGAATCTTGGTATTTAAAACAACACCGATCTTATTCTTGTCTATTTTTCGAAATGTTTAAATCAATTATACTTTCATCTTTTAGTTCAGCGATTCTGTTTTACCCAAAACATAAACATTATTTTTTGTTAGATGATTTTGCTTAAGCGGTTCTAACTTTAAATAAAAACAACATCATGATAACGCAAATTGAAATCAGCTATCATCTTTACAAATTCCTCCATAACACTGTCTGAATGATACAAACTCACAAATCATTTGAATCTAATTTATTTCAATAACACAGCCACTAATTATTTTTTTTAAATATAAGAAGAAATAAATTAAGTTCTCGAACAAAACGTTTTAAATCTTATCATTATAACGTGGTATTAACATGATTTCCTAAATGTACCATATACATTATTTTTAAGAAAGATGTTCTTTTAATTATCAGGTGTTTCCAACAAACCTTTAAATCCATTAATTAGTAACGAACTATAGTAAGATATGATTTAAATAACTTAAACTTTTTATTTAACATTGTGATTACTCTGTTAGTAGTACTTATTTGAATTATACATATTGAAACCCGTTTGCCAATGTTTTCGTTGTTCTATAAATATATTGATAAACTCATCTGTGTTTCAAACATGTTTTCTATGTGCATTGTTCAAAATGAATCTTAATGGCGTTAGATTTGTCAGTGTCACTTAGAAAACATGAATTTTTGACGATTTTGTTTGCCTTGGAAATGTGTTCAATACAAAATTGTTGTCATAACGGTGTCATGATATAAATGACGAGAACTGACAATACATTTGTAAAAGAAAAATCAGAATGTGTAATTGTTGGAAGCTACTGTGGAAATAAATGTTTGTGTATTATCGCTAAGATATTTGAATTTTGTATTTGAAGTTTGTTTAGGCATTGCATAAATTACACAATGGGTTTTTTTCCCCCAAATATTGTATATTGTATTTGTGACTACCTGTTGCTTTTTATATGCCTCAGGTTTTTATGTGATAATCCTTTATGTAATAAATGCAGTATTTAAATGTATGTGACACTTTGAAAACATCAATATATCAAACTTGGTTAATTTTGTTAAGTCCCTCTGATCTGTTGGTGAGCATCAGCCAAAGGCCGTGGGGACAAAACCAGTTTTATTTTTCATCAACAGAAAAAAACCACGAAAGGACAGATAGACAATTTATTTACCTACAGTGAATACAGAATACTCTTAACCGTAGCCTTGCTAAACAATACGGCATGTTAAAATTAGATAATGGTGATACGTATTTTGCTCCTGTTCGTGATCCCTGCTGGGTTACATTGATCGATAAATCTATCAATCTTACGTAAAAGTTTTCATTATTTTTTAGTAAACAACGAGAAATATCTCGGCATGCAACCTTACTACGTACTTACAAAACACTTTTGAATGTTATACTCATGTGATTTCCATATAAATATCAATACATTTGTCTTTAATATGACATGTTATAATAAAAACGTAATTTGCATGAATTTGAATTTTTATAAAGTGTAACCTATATATAACTGACTGCACACTAATAGAAACGCACCGTTTAATGTTTTCAAATTTGAAATTGTATTCGAAAGCCGTTTCATTAAATATCAAAACCGTCCATTTTCGACGTATCTATAAGCAATTTATACTTAAACAAATATCAAGAAATGTCAAAATCGTTCTCGTTTGCATAATCTATATACTTTTCCCAAATAATAAAAAAAAACATGAAGATTCTGTGCATGTTATAAAAGATAACATTTCAAGACTCTTTTATTTATTATTTTAGGTATGTTTTACCTACGATAACCTTCTCATACTATTTGAATATATATATCATTTACAAATGAGGAAGACTGTGACAAAGGATGAAATATGTATATATATATTATATATATATATATTATGTATATGTATTATATGTATAATATATATATATTATATATATGTATTTTAATTAGAATAAAATAATAAATTTGTAAGATCTACCGCTTAGTAGATCTTGCAAATTTAGTATGTTGTTCTTTATTTCCTTGGCAAGTGCCTGTTTATTTATCATCTACTGTGTTATAGTTAAATATTGATATACATGTATCTACTCCCTGTATATATATATATATATATATATATAAATAGTTTCACATATGAAAACAACACTACACAAGTGTTCCCTTTGCTATAAAATGTACATACATTTCATGATTAGTTGTGACATTTATACATTTGTATATTAACAGTTAATTATACAATTATATATAAGATACAAAACACAATGTGTCGCAAGTTCTGCGAAGTGTTAATAATACCGTTAGCCACGAACAAATTCGTTTCAAATTATTACCGTTTTAAATAAAACCATTTGACAAACATATGTCGTTATTTTCAGTTTACATTCTTCCTTCATTTTTTCAAATGTCAACCTGATTATTGAAACAGATAATGTAAATATTACCAAGAGACGGAGAAGGTGAAGTGACACTGAATAACTTTTTTGTACATCACACACCCACTCAACTGACAATCTATCATTCGATTTTATACACAGAAACATTTCAACGCCAATAAATCAAACGAATAAACACAGACATATAAAAAAAAGTAATTGTATATCGAAGAATGGTAATAAAGAATATATATCATAATTAATAGTCTTGGAATCTTATGCTCTAAACTAATATGTAATCAAATGTCTAATAATCAAATATTTTGATGTTTTTAATGATTGTAAAATGACATTATTTATGTTAAGAAATGGTATTTGACTCAAGGCTGTATTTTATTGTTAGATTATCAACTCTGCAAACCTTCCGCTTACAAAAGTATCAATAATGAGAATTGTCACAGTATTAGACATTTATTTTCCTGGTGATGTTTACTGTAAAACAAGCTACTCATTGCCTAACTACGGAATATCTTGTACATGTACATATTTCATGACTGTCGGACAAAAATTAATGGTGTTGGTAGAGTTGTTTTAAATTCTGTTTATTCACAAACAAAATCGTAAACTTATATAAGTTATCTGTTTAGCTTTGTATTTGCTTCTTTAATAGCTGGTGCACTTGTTGTTTATAATCCATTATTAAAAGAAACATTTTTTTTTATTATTATTTGTAAACTTTTTATCATAAACAATAAACTATTCACCGTTTTACATACATTGTTTTGTTAATAAGTTGACATAATTTTAAATTCCTTTGTAACATACTTTCATTAACTCTTATTTCTCTTGACCAGTTTCCATCTGCTTCTATTTCAGCTTCAGGATAGATTGACATGAACGATACTTCATAAACGAAATGTTATAAATTGTCTCTTTTCCATCGACAAAAACAAAACAAAAAAATAGCTGACTTTGTTCTTCGGTGCTAAATATTTGCACTTTGCATTAAATTCCAAAGACAAGAAATGCGAATGCACTACGACTTCCGAAAAACATTATACGACTTTACGTTTGGAACGTCTCGGGTTTTAGAGTATTTTCTCATAAAATAGAATTATCTGTTTTCGACAAACAAAAATTATCTACGAACCAAAGGCTTAAAAAAATGATGATGTTCTCGGCATTGTGAGTAGGTTTGAAAGGTTGTTGCCTGCTGTGTGTTGGTCGTGAGAGCGAATCTTTAGATATTTGGCAGAGTGTCTGATAGATTTGATGCTATATATTTATATAGCCCCGTCGACCTATGGCGCATAATTAACATCAGTCCGTTTCTGCCATTAGATGAAACCTATGACAGGATGAGAATATATTTGTCTTAGCTTTCGTTCATATCCGGAACATATACGTCTTCTCCTTTCATTTGATATCCGAATACGACCTAAATTTCCTCTCAACATCGATTTTCTATTTGAACCTCGGGACAGTAAACAGAAATTATTGCTAAAGCCATTTCCTACTGCATCTAGAGGGCAATTAGTAAAATGAGTCTAGTCCTCCAACCCGTACGTCATGGCACATCTCTCATCTTGCACAGCAACGAATTATTTTAAAGAAGAAAAAAAACTAAAAAAACTAAAACACTAAATACCGAGCCGTCAACGTTTGGGCTGCCACGTTTTCCTCTCACTCTACAGTAGCATCTTTTAACATTATTTTCAAAAACCAGCAAATGTCATTTTTTCGACTTGAAAAATAGAAGTTGAAATTGTTTTGATGTTAGTGAAAATTGTGTATCAGTCATCCACTCAAAATCGTAAGTTATTTCCACTATTTGTGCACATTTGTAGAACATGGTTTTGGTCGTTTGTGTAATTATGTATATATGAAAATACCCTTTTTCTATCCTCAACATCCATCAAAACCACAACCTAGGGTGATATATATCATGGATTCCCGTTGTAACGGTATCATGTGTCGCCCTGTGTGAGAACCGGTATGTTCAAACACAAGTCATGGTCCTTGCCACGCAAGGTGAGATGTGTGCTGGTTATTGATGGCTAATGAGGTGGTCTTTGATTTGTTTTCCCTAAAAATGACCTTAGTAATTCGGTCAATACCCTTGCGATTCATTGTCCGGACGGACATTTGCTCCTTAACAATGGAAATAAGGTTGACGAAAACATTTAGATCCACAACCCAACAAGGCCAATAATCCTATTGTCATACACCAAAAGCGGATAGGGGAGAGAGCGTCTGGGCTTATTACCGGTGTTTCTGTCTGTAGCCATGCATTAGTAATATACCTACACTTGTCTCGGGCTTAGCACAAACAGAAATTCAGTAGAAATCAATTGTTTTCTTCTTTATGCTCATATAATATATATATATATATATATATCATACTGAGTGCATAACCTAGAGATATGATTGGTATCGGCTGTATTACAGAACTGAAGAAAATGAATTATATAATTTTAATCTTATTTGCTGAAAAGAATTATTGTATTTCATTCCAAAGGCAACTTTCTTAACTTGTTTTTATTTCGAAAGTGATAAGTATCAAATATTGAACGGAACTTTGTTCCATCTTATAGATACTAGAAATACGTTATAAGGAATCATCTTTTTAAAAATTAGTATTTTCGATTAAAAAACAGACATAGTATGATATAACTACACGTTATTTAATTCCGTCCACTTAGGATTCGTCTAAGGTTTTAAAGGTCAGCGGAATGAAATCAACGTCTAAAGCTACAGTTGAAAGTAAGATGAATTAAAAAATATTTTATAATAATAACTCCAAAAAATGATAATTAAGAAAAATATCATCGAATATCAATAAACATAAAATATCTTTTAAGGTCAATGAACACAACAATATCTTCGAATATCAATGAACTATAATATATCCTCTTCTGTAACAGTTCTGTTATTCCAAATTAAATACATATATATTTATTTGTTTATTTCATTTTGACAAAAAAAAAAATGCGTACAAGAAAAGGATGAGTTACTTATATAACAAGTAGTCGCGTTTACTTACATATATTTTCATTTGTGTAAAGGTAAAGACATATATTGATGGTGAAACCAAAAGATAATATATATATTCTGTTCACACCAATCAGTCAATACTACAATGACGACTGACTAATAAGCAAAGCAGTAAAGCTTTCAAACCCTGACAACTTCAACAAACATTTCATACTATAACACAAAATATATGTTTTAAAAAATTAAAGAGTTCAGGCAAAGATTGTATGATACAGTACATTTTCATTATATTCCTCACCTAAGCTTAGCTTATTCTCAAACACCAAAACATTACCAAGCAGAGTATACATAGCAGCAGAGACTTTTAATCAGAGAGAAAAGTTTTTAACAAATTTTAACACCTTATAAAGTTTAAACTTCCAAAACAGGTCAGAGTTTTCCTTGCACAGCCTGTGGCAAATCCTGGATATTTGTACAGTCACTGACGATCTTATAAAGGTTTGAGATTTTAGTCAAACAGTTAAACATTGTAGACCGGTTAAACATTGTAGACCGGTTAAGCATTGTAAACACAGTTAAACATTTTAAAACATGTAAAAACACATTTAAACATTGTAAACACACAGTTAAACATAATAGTAAAACAGTTAAACATGGTAGATACACAGGTTTACATTGTAAACACACAGTTAAACATTGTAGACACACAGTTAAACATCGTAGACACAGCTAAACATTGAAATGACACTGTTAAAAAATCGTGGACACAGTTAAACATTGTAGAGTCACAGTTAAACAATGTATACACAGTAAACATCGTAGACACATTAAACATTGTAGACACACAGTTAAACATTGTAGACACATTAAACATTGTAGACACAGTTAAACAATGTAGACACATTAAACATTGTAGACACAGTTAAACAATGTATACACAGTAAACATTGTAGACACAGTTAAACATTGTGGACACAGTTAAACATTGTAATGATAAATTTAAACATCATAGACAATTCGTTAAACATTGCAGACACCTAGTTAAACATTGTAAAAATACATTTAAATATTGTACACACATAGTTAAACATAATAGTAAAACAGTTAAATATTGCAGATACACCGGTTTACATTGTAAACACACAGTTAAACATTGTAGACACACAGTTAAATATCGTAGACACAGCTAAACATTAAAAAGACACAGTTAAACATTGTAGACATAGGTAAACATTGTAGATACACAGTTAAACATCGTAGACAAACAGTTAAATATCGTAGACACAGTTAAACATTGTAAAGACACAGTAAACATTGTAGACACACAGTTAAACATTGTAGACACAGTTAAACATTGTAAACACACGGTTAAACATCTTAGACACACAGTTAAACATTGAAGACACACAGTTAAACATTCTAAACACACAGTTAAACATTGTAAACACATAGTTAAACATTGTAGAGACA